AAAAAAAAAACAAAGGACGGGCCGAAAAAAAACAAGGTTCCGACGTTTAAAATTTCGACTTAATCATTGTACAGATGGTTTTGATTCAATGGGAACATCACATATACACAGCCAACATCACATATCACTGCATCAAAGTAAGAAACAAAACATGAAATCGGAGCCTTGTCTTGTCTCCTCTCTTCATAGTTATCTGTCATCCACCTTCCGGCATGGCAACAGACATTTTTGCCCATTTTCGGCATGTTGACCACTGTCCGAAGGCAACAAAATTTCTTGTTTTTTCCCCCCAAAATCAGGCGAAAATTAATGCGCGCGCTGATGTCATCCATAAAATTTACTTGCCTTGGCCTTACCAGTATTTCCCGTTCCCGCAGCCCTTGCCGACAGAGCGGAACGCCGTACCGGCGGTGACGTCAGGCGAGCCGTTGTCCAATCACGCCCAGCGGCTGGAGGCGGCACTGCAGGACGATGGCGGCGCGAGGAAGTCCACAGAAATGGCGGCCGAAATGGCGCGATTCGGCTCCAGGGTTCTACAGATGGAGAAAAAGTACAACATTCAGTCGGTATGTGTTAACTAACCTTCTCCCTGATGCCTAACACTGTAAGGCCATGTTGATTTGATAATATGGATGGTATCAGCGCGCACGCATGAATTTTCGTCCGTTTCAAAAAAAAAAAAAATGACCATACTATAAATCGCGCAAGCTGCTGCAAAATGAGTTAATATATACGGTGAATTAAGAAAACAATATTGGAAAACGATGAGAGAGTTAAAATCATCTTTATTAAGTTTTGATAAACAAACAAGAGGAACAGTTAAAACACCTAGGTCAATCCCTTAGTATGAGTTAATAATTGAATATTGAAACGGGCAGATATTACATTATATAGCCCCTGACCAAAGGTTCTGTCCATTTTGTCCAAAGCATATAGAAAACGAATTTCATTTTGTTATGGAATGTACCAAATATGATGTTATACGCAACAAGCTATTTACATTTCTCGAATCAAGTACAATAGATTTCAAGAGTCTCGATGTCAGAGACAGATTTGAATATATCTTTACATGTAATGGTCCCCACAACGCAAAAATAGGTAGATATATAAAGGAATGCTTTGCTATTAGAAAAAATGCCGAAACTTGTGACTAGCCCACTCGATTGTAACACTTTATCAACAACTTGTGATATCCCTTATTATTTGAATGATTATGATATAGATATGTTAGGTTTTATTCGACATTAGGTCTTATGCAACACATTTATTTTATTGTTGTTACTCTCTCTTTATGTAGTTTGCCATACATTGTACCATGTGCAATTGTCGTGCAATAAAGTTCTCTCTTTGTTAATAATATGAACTCACGTGACGCAAGGTAAGTATGTGTGCGTCTGGACGCCGAGACTGCAGTTGAAAAATGGTGATTCATTGGGTCTACTCAATATAATAAAAAGTATACATTAATATATTGCACTAGTTGAATCCAGAATGAATAGAATGCCAAAATCAATTCCAATGGAAAAAAGAAGAAAATGTGAAGAAATGAAAATGAAATGCAATAGTACAATAAATATTTAACATACAAGACAGGCCATATAGTATGTCTTGCTTGTGTGACCGTTTTGTATCACGTTTTCAGGTTCTGGTTAGAGATTTGACCACAGAAAACGAAGATCTGAAGAAGAAACTAACAGACGGACTGCAAGAGAAGAACGACACCATTCGTACTTTACAGTAAGTCTGCAGTGTCAAAACGACACCATACGTACTGACTTTATAATAAGTTACGTGCATAGTTTCATCAGGTTGGTAAGACACTGAGTGAAGAGACTCTTTTTACACGACCAAGTATGTTATTCAGCCGACGTTTCGGTGACCGTCTGTCTCCTTCCTCAGGGCAATACTGACTGGTTCACAACACATTGTGGTACAGGTGTCGCTGCTACAGATGCATTCCCAAATGTACAATATTTACATATCTACACATACTAGTATGCGTGATTAGATTACAGGGAAATGTATCTACAATGCGTTCCCAAACGTGCGGAAGTTGTGTATATATATATATATATATATATATATACATATACATAATGGCGGTCAGTTATAGTAGGTTTATAGTAAGTTATATGTAGTTAACGGTAAGCTAAGTCTAGTAGTATAACAGACAGCTAATGACTGTTGCTGTGTTATATTTGTGCGTCCCTTTCGCCTGTTTTGAAACGAATATAAAGCAAAGCGTCTAGTGATAATGCACAGAGCAATCCAACTCTACACAACTTTCTTAAGTTAAGATTATTCCTTGGGGGGCTCTACAAAAATATCTCTACATGAGACACGTGAACGTATATACAAACAGGGCATGTGCACTCCAGTTATGTCACTCAAGTCCAATGACTCTGACCTTGCAACTATCATTGCAAGGTCAAGGACTTTTCTTCTGGTCCCTTTTGCGGGATTTAGGTTAAAACAGTCACAAGGATATGACTGAAACAATGACTTTTCTACCAGCTAGTAGATTGTTGTTGAACGAACCTTCACCGCTTTTATATAGGAAAAAGGTAAAAAAACGATTAAGGTAGCAGAACACACTTTTGCCCCGGGGGATTTCTATATTCATAGTTAAGGACTCCAATTTTTACCGCGTGGACTCACATCGATGCGGTAAAAATTATAGTAGGGTGCACTGGCGAAATACGAAAAAAATTATTTGAGTTTAGGGCATAATCTATAAAATAACTGAAAACAAAAAGTTACGGTTTTTCTCGCCTGTGATGCCCTCTTTTATAAAGCGCCCTGCGGAAATCAACTGAACTGCAGCCGGATCACCCTGGAACGCAGTTGCATAATACGGCGCATTTATACACGAACAGGAAGAACACAACCCAAATCATACGGTGTACAAGCCGATATATTTTTGTACCACAAAGCACAGCTTCAAGAATTTCTTTCGCACTACTTTGTATACCCGCGGAGGTCAATTGAACTGCAGCCGGCTCACTCTGGAAGTGTTGCGTAATGTGGCGCAATTATACACGAACAAAAAGAATTTCACAATCCAGATCAAACACTCTGAAAGCCGATATATTTTTGTACGACAAAGCGTAGTTTACTCCTGGCTACCTCCCATATAAGACGTTCTAGTCAGGCTTCAAGAATTTTGTCTGTACTACTTTGTATACATCCGAGGATCGGCCATTGATATAGCCTGGTATCCAGTCTTACGTGATTGGGGGTATTGGGGTGTTCAGGCAGGTTGTGCCTTCGGGGGCTCGAATAGCTTCCCCCGCCCAGTGCAACAGGCCGGAGGCGGTAGGAGTGTTACGCTAAAAGGCAGCATGCTTTGGGATTTGGTTTCCCCCAACACGTGGAGGGCTAATCAGTCTCTCGTGAAATACACACCGGGAAACCTCTGTTAGGCGGGCGGGGCCCCGACCACGATCAGACTGAATACCAGGCTACCAGTGACATGCCCGTAACCAGGGGGGGTTCGGGTTCCCCCCACAAGGCTCAAAGGTCCACTTTTTGGTCCACTTTTTATGTAAAGGTCCAAGATTTTTCTTGAGAAGATGGACTGGAATCGTAGAAAAACTGCTCCCTTTGTCATTGAATAAAAATCTATCTCTGATTTTTTCTTGGAAATCCTCTAAAAAATGCACGAAATGCCAATTTAGAAGGTTCATTTTTCAAAATTTCCCGGACCCCACTAGGAACCTTGCGCCTACGGCGCTCGAGGTCCCCCTCAAACAGTGGGAAGAACCCCCCATTCAAAATCCTGGCTACGGACATGAGTGATACTGTTCTGCGGCCTTGAAGAAAGCCTCACCTTGGTTGTGTCAAAGTTGAACGATCGGTAATTCCGAGTTGAACGACCGATAATTGTATAAAATTGCGGTTACTCATCTTCCCTGCGGTTAAGGTGTCTAGCCGCGCGGTCCCCTATTGTTAGTTATGACAGTGCAAAAATTATGCCTATTGTGTTTTGCTAATTATGTCGCTTCGAGGAAACTAATTTAGTGTGAAGCGTGACAAAAAAATCGTCTGGTTCATGTGAAAAAGCTAAGAATAGTTCTTTCCTTGAAATCATTATACATGTACCGGGTTGCTCAGTACGAGTCTTGGGTGTTTTTGGAGAAGGTTGAAGTCAAGCAAGGCTCCGATGGGATTGCGGTAATTGTCTTTTTCAAAACTACTTTGTTATGCTTCAAAACATTGCATACTCTAACCACTAATTATTCAAATACTGGGGAAAGTTCGTAATTCCAGCTTATACCATATCCGGTCAAATAGTCCTCGTTACCTTCGCCAAGAAGGTTATGTTTTCAAAGGCGTTCGTGTGTGTGTCTGTCTGTGTGTCTGTCTGTAAACACGATAACTTGAGAAGGCTTAAATGGATTGTCTTCATACTTGGTAGGTGGGTAGGTCTTTATGAGACCTAGAAATGATTAGATTTTGGATAATTTTGGAAATTTGCATAATTTATGAGGAAATGATAGAATGGCTTTCTTTGTTAAGATAAGATTGTCTTTTGGTGGAGAATATGATCAACTGATATGATTCATGCAGATGAGGATGCTATCTAGTCTATTTGCATAATCAGGAGGAATAATCTTTACTTTGTCAGTCATAAAGTCATTCTAGTTCTTAATGAGTTGAGGTTATCTCAGGCATATAATGTTAGGGATGCATTTTTCGTCCTATTCAGGTAACCTGTCAACTTCTAATGCAATTTCTGGGTGGCAAAACTGGATTTTCAAATTATTTTCTCGTTCGTCAATCTTTTAATGTAGTAAGTTGAATCAAACGGACAAAGATATCATACCGATATGATATGCAAAAATGCAAATGTCGCTGACGGAAAACGATTGTTTGCTTTGTATCGTCATCATCATATCGTATCGTAGGCTGGTTAATTTTAGCTATTATGGGTGGTACCCAAAATAGAGACATCTCACGTAGCTTTTTTGGCCATTTCAACTGCTTCAAGTATGAAATGATGACAAAAATGTGCTAAGAAATGGCAGTAAATGTCAATATCAGACAGATTTCCTCATCCAGAATATGTTTTGAAGCCTGAAATTGCATTGGATGCTTTTGATGTGGCTTGATCTTAATGATACTTTTTGTTGTTTAGGTACAAATGTGTATCTGTATAGCCGGTATAACCGCCTTTCGGCGTAACACACCAGCTTCGCAGGCACGCGGCGAGGCGGCAGCTGGCTATATTACACCGATCGACTTGTTACACCTAACCCTTGAACTTCTAACTCTAGACATTGTTTAAAGCTATCTAATGATAATGCCCCTACTGTACTTGGTGACAGCGAGTTTCACTCTGCGATACTTCTAGCCTAAGGGAAGAATGAATTCTTGAACACCTCAATCCTTGGTTGATAACTCCGGTACTTGAAGGCATGGCTATTTCTTGTTCTCTTTTGGGCTGGTATTAGGTACTTAGTAGTTGGGACGTCCACCAGTTTATTAGTCATTTTGTACATCATGCATAGTCTGGACATGTGTGAAATACATTCTTTTACTTCCCATACTGTTGGTTCTGTTGAAATTGCTACACATCGTGGCTTGTTGTACATGTAGCTAAATATGACTCCGCCCCTCCCCCTTTTCTATAGAAACCAGGTCGATGACCTGCAGGTCAAACTGACGGCCCAGGAGGACCAGCCAGGTGTGACTGTCGACATAACCCAGCCAGTACACAAAGAAGTAAGTCTGTATCTGTATATCTAGTACATGCTTGTACACATCTTAGTCAAGAAAATTGTGATTAAACTAGAGAAGTAACATTTGCAAAGCAAATGCATAATGTTTACCTTCGGACATGGTCTTCTCTGTTAATTCTTACTCAAACACATTCAAATACATTGTACTACTAGTATATGGTGACAGGAGCAGAGCAGACCATGAAATTGCAACATTATGCAACCCAACACCAGTCACTATGGTGACAGACGTCAACAAATCATGTCATTGGTCAGGTCATATGTCACTGTTTGGAGAAGAAGAAGTGGAAGAAACGTAGCAAAAATAATATGTTTTCCTTCCTTTCCAAAAACAATATGAGAGCTTGTATGTGGCATATCATATGGATCGTGTCCATTCGTTTTGGTCATTTCTGATATCTCTTACTTTAAGTCAGTAAATGTTCATTGTATAAAAGTTACAAGCAAATACATATTGTATACTTTCATTGATGCAGAATGACGAGAAACAACACTCTACTGACAAGGAAATGTCTGAACTGAAGAATAAAGTTGAGGAGCTACAGAGACAGAAGAAAGAGGTAAGAGCAACAACGATAGTCTTAACCCTTGTCCTGCTGGCATTCCTGACACAATGTTTTTTCAATAATTTCATGTCTTAATTAGATCATAGATCCCCCCAATTTTTTGCTCTGCGGTGGCATAGTTACTTCCGCATTCGTTGCGTTTTGCTGCGGTGTGACGCCTTGCACGAGAAATACTCCCAAATCGTACCTATCCAGGGAGGGTGCTATATAGATGGTACTGTATGTGCAGGACGACAATTGTACAGTTGTGCACCCTGTCGCATATTCAGAAATTTCCACCAACATACGTCGACGAAGGTTAAGGCCACGCAATGCCTTTCTGTACGAATCGAATCCAATTTGAGTTAAATTTGAGTCAAATTTCACTACCAATCACGGTATCGTATGGGCTGTTTTGGCGCCAAACATATGTGTCAGAAATGTGACATACATGTAATTGCACAATATATGTTGAAAGTGAAAGTGAATTACAATCACACAATTGTCTTTTATAGAATATTTCAATATTCGGTTCACAAATGTTACATAATGCCCATTTTAAATGGGCATTATATTAATATTGTCTTATATTAATATTATATTATTATATATTTTAAAACTCTTATTATTATAGTATATTATTTTAAATAAAATACTTCAATACTTCAACATCATTTTAAATGAAATACTTCAATATTCGGTGAACAAATGTTACATAATGCCCATTTTAAATGGGCATTATATTAGTATTATATTATATTAATATTATATTATTATATCAAAACCTCTTATGTTATTATATGAAAACCTCTGATTGTAACCTCTTATTATTATATTATATTATATTTATTATATTAATATTATATTATATTAAAACCTCTTATATTATTATATGAAAACCTATGATTATAACCTCTTATTATATTATATTTATTATATTATATTATATTAATATTATATCATCATATTAAAACCTCTTATATTACTATATGAAAACCTCTGATTATAACCGCTTATTATTATATTATATTTATTATATCATATTAATATTATATCATCATATAAAAACCTTTTGCACAGATCATCGATGTAAACAAACAGTGGGACGTGCAGTACCGGTCCATGAAGGGGAGTTTGGAGAAGAAGTTGGAAGAGGCTCACAGGCAGGTTGCCGAGTACCGAGGCCAGGAGGACAAGAGGCAGAGGGACATTGACAAGATGCTACTATCTGCTAAGAAAAGGATAGACGCTGAACAGGTAAATAACATTGCGTGTAGTTTTGTAACGCGTAATCTTGTTTAATGATGTTAACCTTCACTTAACTTCCAAATGCCACAAGGATGAAATCCTTCATGATTTTGAGGAAGACTTGGTACCTAAGTCCTCCTCCCCTGAGTGCATAGCGAACGAGCCCCGGGGTCACAGAAAGTAGGGCAATCTGGGGCAGACAGATCTTCAGGGTTCCAGGAATGTGGGTATAGATGTGGGTCAGAGAAATGCCTGTGGACATTCCGCATGCCTGTGGACAAAATGCCTGTACCATTCCTAGAATTCTTGCAAACTGCACACAATACTGTACCATTAGGCTCCTCCCTGAGACGTCGCCAAAAAGCATTTTGTACACAAACATAAATGCATTGTCCGTGCCCCCAGGAGGCGAGAGAGCGGGCGGTGCAGGACCTTCAGCAGGAGAAACAGCGCGGAGACACCCTGTCTGCCCGCGTCACTCTCCTGGAGAACCAGATCACAGACATGATGCGGCAGCGGGGAAACCTGGAGGCCGAGATCAGGAGACTGAATGGGGTACTTTACATCAATAATAATAATAGATAACCTTTATTGTACATTCATGCCCTATCGGACTAAGTACAGGTAAACAGATGAAAAGGTATATACATGTTCGTAGTAAAAACAGGACTACTGATACTAATCTAATTACATCAGCTCTAAAACTACTAAAATACAGAGGTTCAGCTTCTTCTCGTTTCTTTGTGATGTTGAAAATATGATTTGAAATGGGTTTGTTTAATACAGGATAATCAAAGCGCATAAGAAAGATAAATTTTTCAATATTCGTCAGGGATTGGAGTATGAAATCTTTATTGACACAACTAAAGCACAATGTACATTGACTTTCATAGGGTGTTCTATAACTATGCCCACAAACTTCTTTCTTTCTCTTAATTTTGCAAGCTAGCCTCTAGCTTCAGAGGTGGTTGGGAAGAGTGCAAATAGGCCAAATAGACAGGTAACAGGCCAGAGGCAGAGGAGTTGGTCCAGACGCACTAACGACTACTTTTACATGTCAACATCCAGGCCCTGGGAGAGGCCCCCAGCATGACGGTAAGAACACCCCCGTACCAGGCGGCAGAGCGGCAACAGTCGGCCCCACGGCAGCAGAGTCAGCCCCCGTCACACAACACCCAGCCCTCCCTGGACACACAGACGGAGATCGAGGTTCTTCGGGCACAGGTAGGGAGGCCTAAGGCCACACCAATTTAATTTCTTGGTTAACGGATTTTTCTAGAAAAATAATGGAGCGGGCGGGCGAAAAAAAACAGGCCTAGGCATCCTATTATGGCCCAAAATGGTCGATAAGTCCATGAAGTCAACACACCAGGCTGGTTCAAAATTTCAACAATGAATTTTGAACTTTTAATGATAGCACTGCATTGCAAGATGGAATAACTGTAACAAGTAGGAAGAAAAGGACTGTTTTCAACTGTTCAGGGCGAAATATGAGCATTTTGCAGTTGATTCTGAATTATTATTATTATTATTTTTTTGCAAATCAGAAAAAAATGAAGCGGGCGAATTCGTTAACCAAGAAATTAAATTGGTGTGGCCTAAGTGAAAGTTTGCTGGGACGCATTTTTTGAAGGCACACATATCATTGACAATTAATTTAACTGCTGTCATTAGCACTCACCATGATCAATAATTGTTTTAATGCAAATTCGTGCCCGAGGGCTAATAGCAGGAACAGAAGAAACATATGGTATAAAAACAGACAATTAGCACGTATAGAATTAGAACTACTGACAACTACTAAGAAACTACTAATAAAAACTACTGGGTTTGATTTCTTTTTGAAGACAGAGGAAGACAAAGGATCCCACTTTTTCTGTAATTTGTGGGTTTTCAGATGTTAAGAGGAGGGTAGTAGGGTCAATAACCATTGACAATTTCTGTTTGATGTTTGATGTTTTATTTGAAATCCATTACATTAGACATCAACATCTAATCTATTTCTTCCTGGATTCAATAAAACTACAAATTCACAATATGTAATAACAAATTAAGAAGATAACGCAACACTTACATTCATTTTACTATCATACAACAATGCCCATTAAGGTACAACTACAGAGCATAAACAGTAACAAATACGCAAATAGCAACACGCAACACTTAAGGATCGCTTTTTGGAGCTTTTTGGATGATACAGAGACCTGCGATGTTGGGAAGTACCGATTTATTGGTGTGGAAAATGGGGGGAAAATCACATATATTTCTCAACACAGGTCGCCACCTACCGGGAAGATTTCGAGACGGAGCGGAGAGACCGGGAGAGGATCCAGGGGGAGAAGGAGACTCTGAGGGATGAAATGGTGGCCCTGAGGCTACAGGTGGACTATCTGTCTCAACAGGTGAGCTGACTAGAATCAAATAAGCTCCTATCACACATTCACAACCTTTCCACTGGCGAACACCAGTCGACCAAGGATGGTTGAGGTTTGGAAACAGTCTGAACAGATTTAGACCACACCTACCTTTCTATAGCTAAATCTAAACCTACTCACGAACACCAGCCAACCATGGCCGAACCTCCGGTTCACATCCGAATGTTTCAACGGTGCACACCCCAGTTCTTCCGCGTCCGTGGTAGTCCGTGGTAAAAAAAGTGACGAAAGGGTTTTGAGGGTCCAAGTTTGAGGTGACATTTCTCATAAACTGCCACGAAATATCATTAAACATTACCATACCATGGGTGAAGAGTGTAAGAAATGGTGATTTGGGGGTGAAAATTTCTTTTCTTTTTTTTCGAAATTTTGTGCATTAATTTGGAGTGAAAATAATGTTTTTCCGTTGATTTTACCAAACGTAAAAAGGTTGAAGAAACCAAACTCAGCTGGTCTTGTAGCTGAAGAGATATCCTTTCGTCCCATATACAGTTATTCTCCTTCCGAATTATTCCACGCCAGAGACGGTCGCCAGATTTGAGGTTGTGCAGCTTCGAATAGAAACGCCAAATTAACTGGGGTGTGCCCCCTTAACAGTGGCCAACCTGAAGGGGGTGGGGTGGCTAGCGTTAGGGAGGCGGCCATATTCGGTGTGTGATAGACGTATCACGGCGGTCAATTTCGAGGGTAAAATTTCCAATTCTACGGAGGGGTATCAGGTTACCGGGGTTCCACGCGCGGCTTCCGTGGAGCCAGTCTCAACAGTAAACATTTTGTTAAGCAATAATAAGCAGTTTCACGGGGACTCTCTTGTCCAAATGTGATAAAATCAGCATGGCATATACCTCAAATGTTGTTGTTTTTATTACAATGCTTAAATGTGTGTAAAATCACTCGCAACGCGTCGAATGCTTAGTCTAGATTAATCGACGTCAATATCCAAACAACTGATTTAAACCGACCCCAAATCTCCTAGAAAATCCCACATTTTTGCATTTTAGAGATCTGTATAACAAAATCAAGATTTGAGTCGGACAGTTGTCTTTATTTTTAAGTTAAAGTGTTGCTAAGGTCGAAAAATTCGCCAAAAAATGCACTTTTTCAACTTCAAAGACCGATAATTCCAGAATGCCGCCATCTTTAAAAAATCCGTCAGACACAGATCAAGATTTGTGTCTTACCTACAATTCAAAACGTTTCTGAGGTAAATTGAATTTGTTTTTGTTGCGGTTTAAATACCATGTTTGCACGCATGTCAGGTCGTGTGAGTAAGTGCAGGGGGTAACTTACATCCCCGTAAACAACAATTACGATCGTCAAGGTCACACACGATAACGGCAGTAGCTTCGTTACATGTTACATATCCACTATAAAACTGGGCATAGATATACTGTCCCGAAATCGGTTCAAATTTGTGAAAAGGTGAATTTTTTTACTGTTCGGCGGTACCCGTGTAAAAACGGGCCTGAAACCGCGGGTTTACTGTACATGATCGCGGGTGACCCCGGATCGAAGGAACATTCGGTTCGATTGACGTCATATCGAACACGATTTGATTCGAATGACGTCATATCGAACATGATTCTGTTCGATAAAAAGGTTGAAATATTTGGGCCAAAATTTGACCATCGTGGTATTCTATGCTCATTCTTCGAAAAGACCTGCACAGTATTCTAGACTAGTCTAATATAAAATTTGTACCTACAGCTTCGGGTGTATGAAGAAGACTTCAACCGTGAGCGCCGTCAGAAAGAACGTCTCCAACGGGAACTGAGACGGAGACCTATGGTAAGTAGTTAGAACTGGTTTAGATATAGATCAACATATCGTCATCATCAGAAAAGTACACTACATACTAATCACAAGACATGGTGACAGCATACTCGAGTTGTTTCAGCATACACAAGACATGGTGACAGCATACTCGAGTTGTTTCAGCATACACAAGACGTGGTGACAGCATACTTAACTTTTGTGGTGACAGCATACTCAACTTATTTTTACGCTGCCACCAACACGGAGGACAATACAATACTCATTCTTACCTGAGCGAAGTGAGGAAAGTCGTGTAAAGTGCCTTTCCCAGGGGCACAAATCGGTGGCATGGTAGGGTTCGAACCCGGGAGCTCTTGGTTCCAATACTATGTACTCAGTACACAAAGCAAACATAGACGGTTATATACTGAATATGTTCTACCGTTATTGCAAATTCTTGCACATGGTATAAAAGCAGACAATTAGTACATACAGAACTACTGATAACTACTAAGAAACTACTGGTAAAAAAACTACTGGGTTTCACTTCTTTTTTGAAGACAGAGGAGGACAAAAGATCCCACTTTTCCTGTAATTTGTGGGTTTTCGGATGTTAAGAGGAGAGTAGTTTTCTTTTCATTTGTATATGTGTGAAAGTTTGGGTAGAATTTGGAGGCTACGTCAAAGAGTTCATTTCGTTCATTGCTATAAAGGGTACAATTTGATATAAAATGCGTTTCGTCTTCCAACGTATTCAACGTACAATGTTTGCAAATTCGTTCATAAACTTGGAGGTTCTTGTACCGCCCTTCTTGTTATGCATTACGCTACACGACCCTACAACTGTCAACACCGTATTTCCCCATGCAGGCTGGTGAAGACCCCGCGCCTTACAGCCCCGGTCCGCGGCAGGAGGAGTACGTCCAGCCGCCGCCTGCCCAGTACTACCCTCCCCCTCCCCCGTACCGGGAACACCCTCCTCACTACCAGCAACCGTACTACCGACCTACCGCTGCCGAGATCCAGCAGAGAGAACTCAACCGCTATCCACAGGTACGATACAAAATGCCGAACTAGCATATTAGCGTTAGGGTTGGTGAATATTGGAGGGAAATGTATATTTAGTACCCCCAACATGCCCGTAGCCAGGGGGGGGGGGGGTCGGTCCACTTTTTGGTCCACTTTTTATGTAAAGGTCTACTTTTTGGTCCACTTTTTATGTAAAGGTCCAAGATATTTTTTTGAAAAGATGGACTGGAATCGTAGAAAAACTGCTCCCTTTGTCATTGAATAAAAATTTATCTCCGATTTTTTCTGGGAAATCCTCTCAAAAATGCACGAAATGCCATTTTAGAAGGTTCATTTTTCAAAAATTTCCGGGGGAACATGCCCCCGTACCCCCTAGAAACCTCGCGACTACTGCGCTCGAGGTCCCCACAAGCAGTGGGAAGAACCCCCCCAATCAAAATCCTGGCTACGGGCCGCCCAAGCAGTGGGAACAAGCAGTGGGAAGACCCCCTCCCCCCCATTCAAAATCCTGGCTACGGGCCGCCCAACATGAGCCAAAGAATCTCTCTAGTGGTTACAAACCACTCTCATTTTGATCAAGTACATTTTGCCACCTTCGCTACATGTGAGTATATAAAGGCTTTATATGGTTACCGAGAAACAAACTCAATACCCATTGCTAGATGTAACACTACTGGTAAGAAAAGGGCTGATAGTATCTGAGAAGGATGGCGAGTAAAATGTGGCGAATATGGCCTGTCGAACACTACCAAACTCCCCACGAAATATTTTGTTACAGGTAGGTCGAGTGGTTGGTAGTAGGGGCAGCTTCTGAATGTAAAACATTAATACTGTAACATACTTTCATTTATCAATTGTTTGATACTATTACATATAGTTTATATTGCTTATTATTACCCTGATCCATAGGCTAAGTGCCTGATATTTACTAATAAAAGAATGAAAGATTAAGAAACGTATGATTATGATGTATTATAGCGTGGCCGCCTGACCCCTCGCGGGACTGGTTACCCTGCCGGGCGGTTCTCTGGACAGGTCATCCCGAGAACTCTCCCTACTGACGTCGAGCACGACTGTGCGGACGGACTGGTCAGCAGAAACGTGGGAGACTGTCCCAGGTAACTTTCAAACTTCAGCCGTCACTGCTGCTCAACAAAATTCAAGCAGATCTTTTTTTTTAATCTGTCTTTATTTGAGTTTTATAAATGAACAAAAAAGCATGGCAAATATATAACTGACACATGTAGTACCGCAAAACAAATAATAATAAACCCGGGAAACAGACATATTAACCGTTTAGCAACCCCAATGCCGAGAACATATCATTTATCCTTTAGACTAGATCACAAATTACCTATATATCTATTAGTTACCTACTATATGTACCTATCTTTAACCAGAAAATACAGTATTAAAATTCCCCCATTTTCCCTTATGTTTATATGTACTTTATCTTGTCTGTATGCAATGTTCAATTCTAGTTTGTAGATATACGAAACAAAGGATTTGAAAGCAGACAGATTTAAAGCAGATCTTTTGGTGGCTCCAAGACAGTATCAAATTGGCAAGAAACTATAATTGGCTACTAACTATAATTATTCAATATGCCACTCGAAGTAAGGCTGGAGAAGGAAGAGATACCAGTACATAAAAGAAAGCCCGATAAAAACGCACAAAACAAGTAAAACAATAAGCCGAAGCCTGAACCTCTGCTTGGAAAGTAGTAGCTAAGGCCCTATTTTCACTATACGGTGATCGTTGAGCTACCTTACACCATCCAAAATTGGACATGATTTGGGATATGGTGCAAGTATGATTAAACTCAGCATCGAAACAGGAAGGCACAACCGCACACCTCTGGAGCAAAGGATTTGCCAATTTTGTAGCTCAAACAAAGTAGAAGATGAAGCCCACTTTGTCATTGATTGTAGTTTATATAATAATGAAAGAAATGATCTTTTTAGATATATTACAAGTACGTTTTCATACTTCCAATACTTGTCTAATATTGAAAAAAATATCTTTCTTATGCGTTTTGATCATCCTGTACTATACAAACCCATTTCAAATTATATTTTCAACATCACTAAGAAAAGAGAAGAAGCCGAACCTCTGTATTAGAGTAGTTTCAGAGTTGTTTGTACTACAAACATGTATGTTACCTATTTCATCTGTTGACCTGTACTTAGCCCGATAGGGCATGGATGTACAATAAAGGTTATTATTATTATTATATTTCAGTCCATACCATGGATGAAATATATTGTGTTCCCTCATGTTTCTTCTCCTTCTCCTTCTCCTCCTGCCACACAGTCAAAGGGATTCAACTCTGTCATTTTTTAGTCAAATGACCTGAAATTTGGCAAGGAGGTAGAGTGGGCCAATACCCCTAGGCGTTTTTTTCATTTTTTTGATACATGCCTTTGAAAAATTTTTATGAAGGTTTTTTGGGGCATTTTTCGACAAAAAATGGATTTTTGGATCCTGAGCGCTGGTTTTACAACCAAATGATCTGAAATTCGGTATAAGGGTACCTTGAACATGTGTTTACAGAATAGCAGTCACATGTTTGGCATACACCATTTCCAAATGACTCATTTAGGGGACTTTAATGGCTATTTTCAGACCAAAAAAGGGGCCAAAAGTGCTGTACCCGTTCCACGTTCGATCTAAAGAATGCCCGTTCTATCTGCCGTTGGCCATCGAACACATCGAACATTGCGGGTTACCTGAGGTCACGTTGCACGTAAGTCGTGCACAATGACCCACACATTCAATTTTATGTAACGTTACCTAGATTTTTACGTCATCAGTCATCTACAATCACGACGAGGGAATATG